TAAAGCACAAAACCGGCTCTGAAGAATTACTACTAGGTTACGAAAGTCTATGCGCTACAACTAAAATAATCTACAGTACGAATTAACTAACATAAACCATTTTAAAAAATACACAAATTCAATTATTTACTATATTGTATGAAACTCGACAAAACCGTGAATGTTCGGCAAAGATCGGAGTTGTAAACTTCCTATAGTGACCGTCGATTTCGCCCGTTTGCACCAAGCATCGCGCGAGATCTCGAGGCTGCCGCCGGCCGCAGAAGTAGGACCTGGTGAATGAAAGCGATAGAGATAGGGTTCACCGTTGTCTCTGGAATTCCTCATGCTGGTCCACAATACAAAATTATTTATACCATGCCAAATATTAGCGCGCAGTCTACTATAGAGTAAAAGCTAACTCATCAATGTTTTAGGCTCCTGCAGACACATACTTACTATTATATGAATGATATTATACTACATTCTGTCCAGGTGTATTTAATGGGTAGGGGTCGAAAATGGGCAGAAAATTGCAACGAAAGAAGTGTGAGTAATTCCTCTGGTTTGCGCAGCTGTAGTAGCAAGCGGAGCGACGCCGCGGATTAGCATTGGACAGCAGCGGCAGCGGCATGCGATCGAAGTTTCGTGAGGCGTGGCGGGTATAGTCAGTTAGTATCGTATCAGGCGATTATCATTATGTATCTTGATCTCTGATCTGGATTGAGTGAATTCGTACGGGGTGTGTGACCTGCGGCGATGACAAGGCTGTCCTGGGGTGGGGAACGAGCTGAGTGATGAGAGAGCATCTTGCGTGCGCCTAGTGCGCCGGCGCGAGTGCCGGACATGACACTGATCTATCGCTCGTACGCATCTACCGACAGCACGCAACCACGCACGCACGCACGCACGCACGCACGCCGCACTCACGCTACGCACGCACGATCGACGACGACGGAGGGTTAAGAGAAGAGATGAGCGCGCGAGAGAGAAAGACGGAGAGAGTGACGTGAGATGAGAGAGAGGACAGTATAGAGAGCGAGAAGAAGAGAGAGACGAGAGAGGAGAGGATGATGAGAATGAGAGAAACAGCGAGAGAGAGAGAGAGAGAGAGAGAGGCGAAGAGAGGAGAGAAGAGAGAGAGAGAGAGAGAGTATTAATATCGCGCCTACTTGATTATTATCGATCAACATTAATCGCCATCATAACAATCGTCGTCGTTGACTCGTCAGTTTCTGCCAGATTCACTGTAACTGTCATTTATCTATATACCTACACACGCGCGCGCACGCACGCACACACGCGCGCACACATACACACATATATACGTATATGTATATTATGAGCTATTTATTAATCAAATATAACAATTATGACACTTACTCAGTGGCGCTGCCTGGTGTTGTCCGCGTGCAGTAGTAATTACACAGCAGATGATGGTGACAGCAAGAATGACTGTACACGTCGCCGCGCGCATGTTGTATATGTAATAATGTATATGTATATGTATAATGTATAGGGTGCTCTCGTCTCACTACAGTTTGACAGTGTGTCACACGCACGGACATAGGTTTGTGACAGCGCTATATGACCCAGCCAGTGTACGTCTGCCGCGTGTGTCGCCTGGTTACACGACGCGTCAGTGGACTTTGAATTTCTGTTCTATGCTACATTAGCTGCATCCCGATAGCTCTAGCATCTGCTGGGATATCGTGATAACTTATGCGCGGTGAGATAGCAGCTATACGTGTACGTTGATGAGTGCATGAGAAAGTGAACGCGTGCGATCTTATCGTTGGGTTTGGTGACCACTCCGTCCCTGTGCGTCACGGTCAGCTGGCTGGGTCACACGGTGGACCCGTGATTTTACACGATAATTCGTATCGGTTAATAGGGCAGGTAGCCTCTTAGATTACTGCATATCAACTTACTTACTGTATAACAAAGTTCGTCGTAGACCCAGAACGTTTATTTGCTTTACCAGATACCAATTTAATTTTATAATTAATTAGAGCGATCAACGTCTTACGAAATCTGAACGGCGCGCATGACGACCCCCTCCTCTCTCTCTCTCCTCTCTCTCCTCTCTCTCTCTCTCTCTCTCTCTCGTATATATATAATAATATATATTATTATAGTAATATATATTATACTGTCTCTCTCGCTCTCCTTCCCCTCCTCGCCTTTCTCTTTCTACATCGTTTTCTTACTTATGTTCTCTCTATCTCTGCCCTTTCCCTCTCTCTCCTCTCTTCTCTCTCTCTCTTCTCTCTTCTCCTCCTCTCTCTCTCTCTCGTCTGATCTCCTCTCTCTCTCTCTTTCTCTCTCTTCGTCTCTCTCCTCTCTCTCTGAATAACTTTCTCCCTTAAATGGCTGTACGCGATTTTCTCAACTATATATAAGGCCTCCTATATTCACCGAGTCAGCTACGTGATTTTTCTACTCGCCCCCAAATTTTCTTATGAGTCAGTTCGTATGCACTATAAAATTCAGCATCGCTCATCATAGCATTACGGCACCTGTTCATTTCCGTTGACCACCTTATGAAACTCATGGTACCTAGCTCCATCCGCCATCCCGCCTCGCCCACGTAGCCCAACTGCTAACTATTCTTATCAAGCAAGCAAACATCTTTCTTGCATTACGTCACTAATAAATCAGCTGCCAATAATCTGATTTATAGATTTGCGTAATATTCGCCGCGTCCCCTATGCTTCTTAAACGCATTTTGCGCACGCGGCGGGTGTTGGAGTTTGTATGTGCGTTAGCGTGCGTGCAGGTGCGTGCTGGCTACATGCGTTCGGTCATTCGGAATGTTGCCAGCGTGCGCGGGTAGTAGGCAACTGTGCTTGGTGCGTGGTCCGCCAGGGCGCATAACCAGGTGTGACAGGGGGACCATGTCCCACGGATATTTCCCATATTTGTATGTAAGTGTGTAGACTGTGCTGAGTGCTGGTGTGTCGTGTGTGTGTGTGTGGTGTGGGTGTGGTTGATGTGCGTGTGTGTGTGTCTGTTGTGTCGTGCTCATGTGTGGTGTGTGTGCGTGTGTGGCGTGGTGTGGCGATTGTGTGTCGTTTGGAAGTGCAGAAGCCGTTTAATTGTTTGTGATACTGTGCGTCAACAATTTGACGCTTTCCCTGATTGACTTTCTTTTTTTGCCACTGCATTTCATTCAAGTTGCATTGAGAGCATTATATAATGATCAGCACAACCGTTTTTAAGAATAATGCGGATGTCTTATAAAATTAGGTACCGTTTCTTTTTTAACACGTTTTTTTTCTGTATATTAAATAATTCTAATTGCAGAAATTCATTCAAGAGAATATCTGTTTATGAAAGGCTTAGGAATATCATCTCACATTAGACACTTATTTCAGGATTAAGCTGTGAACACGAGCTTATATTCACGCAAAAAGTGGGAGACTGTTAGTAATAGCATTATTTAATAATGTAATTATTCCATTGCAAATGATGATATGTAATACACGCATAATTATTGATGACCTTGGGACCATTAACAATAATAAATCCCGACCAAAATTATTTTGGTATCAGCCCTCTAACACCAAGATTGGTTTTCTGCTTTATTGTTTTCTTGATTTTTATGATCTGCATGTGCGACACCCTTTTCGGTAATCTTTATCACAATACAAATGGCATGTGTGTGTGTGGTGTGGTGTGTGTGGCCGGTGTGGCGGGTGTGTGGGTGTGTGTGTTGACATTCACGGTTTTGTCGAGTTTCATACAATATAGTAAATAATTGAATTTGTGTATTTTTTTAAATGGTTTATGTTAGTTAATTAATTCGTACTGTAGATTATTTTAGTTATTGTGTATTTAGTGGTAATTAATGTGACACTTGCAGCCATGCAGCTTGTTGACATGACCTTTGCCCTCGGTGACATGGAACACATTGATAACCCTGAACACCTGGAAAAGGCTAAGGTTTTCCTGCTGGCTGGAAAACACGATGAGCGAGTTAACCCAGGTTCGATAAAAAGTTCACTCATTTATTTATTTATTTATTGATTCATATTTGCTTATTTTGAGCAGTTAATTATCCAGAAACACGTAAAATAACAAAAATTTAAAACACTAAAGCTTAAATTAAATTAATACTTGGCTTGTAACAAAACAACAGCAGCAGCAAAAACCGTAATAATTAACAACAATAAAGACAGCCACATCAATAATAATTAATTGCTGCTCTTGCAGAAGTGGTGAAAAAAACGCAGGAATTCTACGAATTTTTTCTACCAGCCGAGAACGTGAAGGCAGAGTACGAGATAGCAGCAGGCCACGGAATTGTAAGAACACGCACGTATAGAGCTGAGAAGGGCGCGCCCACATACACTCTTGCTATCGGCTCCATCTAACACGGGATTAATTATAACTTGGACCCGAATTACTACCCAGCGCCTACACCTAACTGAGAATGAACTTAGATGAATATGTTTTCTTGACTATTTGGGATTTTCAGCCCACAGAGAGTCACGGCTGTGAGTGCAGGGAGAGCCGGCGTCCTTTGCTCAACAACTGTGGCTACAACACCGCCTACGCTCTTCTCAGCCACATCTACGGACACTTAGAGGTGCGGCCGTCGATACAAACCCAGTTACGGTTGCGACATCCGCGCGGGGAGAGTTCCTTCCCAGCTCCTCTCTCTAGCCGTGATCCTGTTTGTTGCTTCATCATAAATAAAGGACCCATATTTTCACGAATGACAGATAGATGAAAATTTGCTTTTTCGCGTCACAAAAATTCTCTATCATTCGTGGACATGACCCCTAAAATTTATTTACAGTAGTATATCGTGTTTGATACTAAATGATAGCATGACGTCACATCGCACGCCATTAATTGAGCTAAATGAAAATCCACGTGTGTAATCGATAACTGCCGCTCAATATGAGAATTGTTTCGATTGATTTTTCCCCGCAGAAACCGTCTAGTGACGTGGAATTAAAGGGAGAGGTATGTCATTGCTCAGACTGTTACCCAGTGAACGCGTAAACAATACACGTTATAAATTCTGTTTTACGGCAAAATCTATGGTCAGTAGCAAAGACGGTAACGCAAGTATATATACATATATATATATATAAGAAGATATATACATAATTATGATAATATAATAATTATATAAGAACCTTTGTAATAGGAATGCTATTGAATATGTTCTACAAATCTTAGAGAGCAATAGAACTCTACAGTTGCATAGCTGATGACGTCATGTGTTTGCCTGTGGGGGGATGTGCTGTTACAGTTCATAGAGTTCGACCAGAGAGAATACTTTGACGATTCCAACGTTGCGATATCTATGAGCGGATTCGGTGCTGGCTACGTACCGAGCGCCTGCCGTGATCAATCAGGTACGTCATTATCGAACACAACTAGTAATGACGTCACTGTTTTTAGCTCATCTGACGAAGTCAGATGCAGCTTGTAGAATCGCACGATCGTCCGTCCGTCCGTGCGTGCGTCCGGCCGTCCGTCCGTCCGTCCGTCCGTCCGTGCGTCAACAGTTGGGCACAAATCTTAACCGCTCGACGTACGGTCACGATATTCGGGACGTTGGGGGGGATCGTCAAAACGAGTTGGGATGTCGAAGCTTGGGGTCAAAGGTCAAAGCCGTTTAGATTTGTGCCGCAATTCTGCATTTCCTCCCTATACCTTAAGTTAAGGAGGGAATGTTCCCCCTTCTTTTACACCTCTTGACCCTAGTGGTAGTCGGTGTATAGCATCATGGTAGGAAAAGCCATCACTGTGCCGAAATTGGAGGTCACAGGTCAAAGGTCAATGGGGCACAGGGCAGATTTTAGACATTTTCTGAAGACATGGTGTGACGGAGCGATTGGAAAACTTTTTTGTTTCAGCAGTGACCTAGCATTTTTATGGCTTTATTGAAAGGACCATGAAATGTGCTTTCCGCTGATGTGCGAAGAGTAAGTGTCTGATAACCTTTTGACCCTCAAGAGGAGGGATTTAAACATGGATTTGTTAACTGTTACTGTGTTAGAAAGAATTTGACTGCTGGGTTTGCTAGTAGAATCTATACATGCTTGGATGTATGAGGCTACAATGTCACAGTCAAATTTCAAAAGCTAAATTTGCTTGAAGAAGGTTTATGCTCCTTAAATCGTATACTTTCTATGGCATTCTGTACTGTCAGCCGATTGAATTGAAGGGCCAACACTGCAGGTTATGGCATGCTAGCACAAGCTCACCCTGCACGTACACACATTAACAAGCAAAGCTACGCGTTGCGGCGGCCAGCATGTGACAGTGTGTTGCAGATGAGCATTGGACGGCATTTACAGGAAATTGTCGGCAATAATAGGTGAAAGAGAGTAGAGAAACATTAAGGCTTTGGTAGTAAATAGATTCGTATTTATTTACCATTATATTTTATTGAAACGCTCCAAGTGCTGTGGCGCTCGCACAGCCTCCGGTCGGCTAACAACACGGCCATAGTACATTAGTAGGCCTAAGACCACAGACACTTGCAACGTCTCAATGAAAAAAAAAGGTAAATAAAATGTATTTACTACTAGTCTTAATGTTTCTCTACATCTATTTCGCCTAGGCTATTATTGCGATAATTACCCGTAATGCGCGTCAAATGCTCATCTGCAACACACAAGTACACCGCACGCCGCCCTGTGCACAAGCTCTCTTATTCATGTTGTTTGTGCACAGGCGCGGCGTGCGGCGTACTTGTGCAGATGGAGTCGTTGTCGTATCAGGTACTACAGATATGTACCCGAGGTAGCTCTAGTACTATAGCCCGCTTACATTAACTGCCGCTGGCTATAGAACGACCCATGTGGGCATGCGATGGACCAACTTATCCCCGATTATATCCGGCTATGAAACGTCTGTGTAGGCAATTAATGCCTCTTATCCGAAGTGAATATGTCTTAAGTTATAAGCCGCTACTAAAATTAAACCTCTAACTATCGTTGCAATGGTTACTTGCGGTATTTCTTGTGAACAAACATTCGATTTGCGAACTTCAAACGGCCATTTCTGGCGGCCGCTGCAGCAGGCCGCAGTCAGCGGGAACTATGTATTTCCGCATGTGGAGGGGTGGCGGGTTGGGGTGGTGTGGACAACACGATTGTTGTTGTCAAGTAACAAATTAAGCGATCAAAAAGAGATTGTAATATTATTTTTGTCATGAAAGATGAACAAATTACTATTATTAATGTTGTTACTGACACACAACTGTTTTTGTCCCACAACCAAACACAACCCGCCCACCCTCCACATGCGGAATACATAGCTCCCGCTAACTGGCGGAGTAAGTTGGTCCGAGCATTCGTAATGGCTTGATGCATAGCCAGCGCCAGTTAATGTAAGCGGCTATAGTACTAGAGCTATATACCCGAGGTAGTTTTAGGTTGTTTAGTATTATGTTTATATTTTTATACGAGGTATGTTTAGGGTTAGGGTTATAGGGTTAGGGTTAGGGTTAGGGTACACTTCTGTAGTACAAGTCTGTACACTTTGTGTATACATATATATGTACCTCGGGTACATATCTGTAGTACGGTACCTGATACGACAACGACTCCTTCAGCTGTACTTGTGTGTTGCAGAAATGAGCATTTGACCGGCATTTACGGGTAATTATCGGCAATAATAAGCGAAAATAGAGTAGAGAAACATTACAGACTTCGGTAGTAAATACTTTCGTGTTTATTTACCTTTTTTTATAAAGACGTTCCAAGTGCCTGTGCCTGTGGCTGTGCCTAAGAGTAAGACAGGTAACTTTGCGAAGATATAACTGATAATAGTAAGTGATAAGCACATACCGCCGAACATCCTCTACCGATTAAATAATTCCACTATGCACGCTACTGTTTGCCATATTCACCTCCACACACAGCTTCCCTCTGCTGCAAAGTTTCTCATAGACAAATTCCTAACGGCTGTTTTTGTCCCAAGCTTTACTTCTAATCGTTCAACCCTCTATCTTC